CGTTGGGAATCGCGAATTCCACGGTGTCGCGAGTGATTAAGCGGTTCGAGGAACGGTTGACCACCAATCGGAAGCCCAGAAGTGAAGGAAAAAGTATTCCGTACAACACCAAAAATCACAACCGCGTAGTTGGGGCCTTCAACCGAAATCCGAACGCCTCCGTTAGGGATGTGGCTAAGAAGCTGCACCTAAGCCGAAGTTTTGTCCAGAAGGCCAAAACTAAGGCTGGGCTTCGAACGTTCAAGGTACAAAAGGCCCCTAATCGCGACGAGAAGCAGAACAAGTCCGCCAAAACCCGTACCAGGAAGTTGTACCTCAACATGCTGACGAAAGTTGAATGCTGCATCATGGACGACGAAACATATGTGAAGGCCAACTTCAAACAGATCCCCGGCAACCTGTTTTTCACGGCCAAGGATAAGTTCAGCGTTCCGGAGCATGTCCGCACTCAGAAGATGTCCAAATTTGCGAAGAAATTCCTGGTTTGGCAAGCCATCTGCACGTGCGGGAAGCGGAGTGCACCTTTCGTGACCCAGGACACGATGAACGGACAGGTGTACATAAAAGAGTGCCTCCAGAAGCGGCTGCTTCCTCTCCTGAAGGCCCACAACGTCCCAACAATCTTCTGGCCGGATTTGGCCTCATGCCACTACTCCAAGGACGTGCTGAAGTGGTATGCGGACAATAAGGTCAATTTCGTGCCGAAAATGTTCAACCCTCCCAACACTCCGGAGCTCCGCCCCATCGAGAAGTACTGGGCGATTATGAAGCAGCACCTTCTTAAACGACCTAAGGTAGTGAAGACAGTCGAGGAACTGAAGAAAGTATGGGTTTACATGCAAAAAACGGTTGATTCACAGGTTGTGCTAAATCTTATGGCCGGGGTTAAGGCCAAGGTGCGGGCATTTGCGTATGGACTGTAAATAAAATACGAGTAAAATGGTAAAATGAAGTTTAATAGTTATTTCTCAATCCCTGAAAATTTGATGGCAATCGGATGAAAACTCGAATTTTGCGAATCAATTTTGTGTGTGGCAATTTCATCGTGGACACACTTCACCTTGTCGGAGAAACCTAGACCCGAAGGCCCTATTCCGGCAAGTTGATCTGCTGACTCATTCCCAGGAACTCCGCAATGTCCGGGTATCCATGTGTAGACCGTGTTCTGTGGTGCATATTTTATGATCGCCTGAATCCAGGGATGTTTTGGTGTTTCCGAAGCCAGAGCTTGGATGACACTGTGCGAGTCTGTAAGAATCAGGATGGGCTTGTAGGCCGGTATTGTTGCAGCTCGGAAGATAGCGGCAGCCTCAGCCGAGAATACCGAGCATTGCGGGGGAAGACTGCTGCTTTCGTTGATGTTTTCTCCGAATATTCCGATTCCAACTCCGTTTCTTGACCGTGAGCCATTAGACTGATGCAAAATTTAAAATTTTTGCTCCACAGTGCTTAAACGGTTCCAAATTGGGTCCTGCTTAGCCTCCCATAATTTGAACTACTTTAGTAAGAAACTGACTTGGCACATATATGGGAATTACTATGGGTAAACCTATTTTTTTGTTCATATCTATCTAACAATTCACCACATCACTATGCTTTTAAAAATGATTGCAGTGATTGTAGAACATTTTCTCAGCTACAACTTTGTTGAAAACTACTTTTCAATCAAATGTAAGGAACAAAAGTTATGAATGATTCAAGTCACTGATGTCTTATGATTATGCTCATTCAACTGTTCTGCAGGCAACATTGGTGTTTCTGGTGCGAAGAATAGAGCACAATATCATGGCTACTATGTCACACTGCAGAATCCAGTGTTGCCCACAAAACAGCTGCTTGATCATGCCATAAGATTATCAATCTCTTAAACAATTAATAACAATTCAATTTGACATTTGACTGAAAAACGATATTCCGCAAAGTTGTAGCTTAGAAAAGTTATAGAAATTTTTTTAAAAAGCAATATGGAAAATACGTAGAAGACAATGAACAAAAAGTTTGGTTTTCCCATAGTAATTTCCATATAAACTTCGAATAGTTTGTGGCAAGTTAGTTTCTTACCAAATGAATTTAAATTTCGGGAGGCTAATTAGGACCTGATTTGAAACCGTTTGAGCACTGTGGAGCAAAAATTTCAAATTTTGCATCAGTCTAGTGAGCCATCTGTGTATCGGTGAGTGTGATTGGCATAGTTGGTTTCAAGTAACTCCACCACTGATCGGCGGAGTACTATCGACGTATCCCCTGCTCTGAAACGTTCTTTAATTCGATTGTCCAATATAATACGCGGAGAGTGCCACCTTATCTCTTCATGCCAATGGACTTTGGCCACTGGGGGAAGGTCGGTGTTGGCGGCCGTGCGGAGGACTCTATTCCCCTCCTCGAGGAGAAAGACCCTTTGAGATCCGGAGGTCTTTGCAGAAAATGCAGTGGCTTTCGTGGCTATGTTTATGTGTAGACGGTACCGGAAAGGGAGGAGACCTGCTTCAACACAGGCAGCGTCTGCTGGAGTGGAAGGCAGGAGATCAGATACGATCCGGACGTAGTTATTGTAAACCGGCGCTAAGGTTTTTGTTAGTTTCTCCGAGGCGATACATGTGATTTCGGTCCCGTAGAATAACCTACTATCAATGGTTGTTCTCGCCACGCGGAAACGGATTTCCCGGTTGTTAGAGTGCTGGGGACGGGAGATGGTCTTGATTAGGCTCAATCTGCTGCGGCAGTCAATTTTCACCTGTTGAAAGTGCTGAGCGAAAGAAAGCGTTCGGTCAAGCAGGACACCAAGAACGCGCACGGTTTTCCTGGTCGGTACCGCTTGATCATGGATCATGATTGGGGTACTGTTGACTCGGTGTTGAGTTGGGCAGAATGTTGTTGGCATCGAATGCTTTTTCTGGCCGACAGCTGGAAACCCACTGCTTCAGTCCATCTGACGACGGCAGATACCGCCGCTTGCGCCTGCCGTTTTGTTTTCACGGGTGTGGGTCCGGTGGTTACCAACACGTCATCGGCGTACACGAATAGGTGGATTTGCCTGGCCAGCCGTTCAAATGCCCCATTCATCGCCACCAAGAAGAGGGTAACCGCTATCACGGACCCTTGCGGGACCCCGGTTTCCTTGCCAAACCTTCTCGATTGCGTGTTTCCCACCGTGACTCGGAAAGATCGGACAGTTAGGAAGTTCTGTATGAAGTGCAGGATGTGCCCCTTCAAACCCCATCCTGCTAACTTGCTGAGAACGGCTGGTGTCCAAGTGCGGTTGAAGGCTTTTGAGATGTCCAGAGAGACGACTTCAGCGTGGTGTCATTGATCGTATGCTTCTTTGAGAACGTCCCCCAAGGTTGCGAAGTATGTGGACGTTCCAAAGCCATGCCGAAAGGCGTGTTGTCGGTGATCGAGCAGGCTGTTTGACTCGAGGAAAGTCTTGAGTCGACGGTTGTCCATGCGTTCGAGGACCTTGGCCATACAGGACGTGAGGGCAATCGGACGGAACTTGGATACGTCCCTGGTTTTTTTAAAGCAATGCACGTACTAATTATAAGATTTTAAATAATTAGACAGCTGGCTACGTTGTATTAAATTGGCTGGTGCGTGCCTGTCGAACAAACAGCAATAAGCAGAGATAGATATAAATTTACATTTTTGCATTCGATAGCTTGAATGTTCGGCGGTAATCTAGGCGGTAATATTTTTTTTTTTGCTATGGGTACTCAGGTAGGTAAACATTCCTCATATTCATATCGTGTGTACGCGAAAAGTTTGTGAATGAAAAGTCAAGCTTCACACATGCATACAAACCATTGGGAATAATTGGAATAAACAAGGAGAAAATTTCAAAGTTTCTCACTACTTTTTGCAAGTTTATCTCACGGTCGTGCTGATTTCCATTCAGATGCCTGATCTGATGGAAACTTAGTTCCTCAGTTCCATTAGTGTGATGTTCAACCGCAACCCAAAATAGCATCAATTTGGGAAAATATCAAAAATATTTCAACCATTTTTCCGCATCTCATGTTTTAAACTGATGTGACAGATTGACGGCCAATAAGGAGAACGATGCATGGGCAAAGATTGCACAAAATCGAAGCTCTCTCGTTTATTGAGTCCCATACTGATTTTACCCTACGCCCATTTCACCTCATTTCGGATTTCCGATACTGTTCACTGTATTCAGACATGCGCATGGTAATTCTTTAACGAAACCACATATTTGTACCTGGATAGTGGGATATTGGATCGTATAAATAAAAAGAGTTTACCCTTCCGTGATTTTCTGGAGAGGAAAATAAACTAAACTCATTTATTCATACCACCCATTGTTTTTAAAAACGAAAAATATACTTAACAGTTTTGTACATATGCATCAATTAATGCATGAAAAAAAAAACTATATTCGTCAAAGTTTGTAAATACCTATGACGATTATTTACAAATATATAGAAAAGGGTCCTTCAAGAAAATCCGTATTTTGAACAACTTAGAATATATTTTTCCTTCAGTTCAATTTAAAGTCACTTTTCCTCTCAGTATTTTGTTTTTAATCATATTCGAATGAAAAATGAAACCTTGGCTTGCAACAAACATGCAAAATTTATTCAAATTGGATGTCTTTTTTAGTAATTTCATGAGAAAATTTACAGAATGCAATACTAGTAGGTGATTTTTTCTGTAAATTACAGAATAGTCCTAAAATTACTTTAAAAAAATGCAAGTGTTAAGGTTAACACAAACGTCGAAGAAACATTTACAAAATATTCAAAGAACCGTGTAATTAATACAAAATGTTAATCGGGATTTGTTTTTTCTTGATATTTCATTTTTTTATGAAATGTATCAAAAATTGAATGTTAAGCACTGTGCCGGTATCCTGAAGAAACATTCAGGGGAAAGTCATTTCCCCTTGCACGTTGCCGAAGTTTTCCCGAATGGTGATAAGCAGGGACATCATGTATAAACCCACCATCATTAGGTGTAAAAGCTCATTTCGCACGTGTCATCTCAGATGAACGGTCATAAGTTTTGTTCGAAGACGTGAATACATACACATTGTGATATTGAATTCTAGATGGACATTTATAGAAGGACTAACAGTGCATTGCTGTTTCTCTGCAAGTCTCTAAGAATCGTCAGTGCACTTCTAGCCAGATGCGGATTAGATTAGATTATGATTAAATATTTACTAACAAGAAAACAAAGTACAATCACCGCCAACAATTCTAAGTGAATTTTCCGAGATAGATTTTCCTAAGTGTGTGTATTGGTGAGTGAATCACGAATCCAGACCCGAGTTTGTAACGATGATTTGACGAATGTGGATGGAGAAATTCACTGGTTCACGAAATTTTCATCTACAGTTCTTTATTTGTCGTTCACAAGGTCGGAGGCAACCTGTTTGTCAGAATTGAACAAGGGCGTGAAAATTTTATAAGATTTTATGTGATTATTTCTGAAGCATAAGAAGTATCTGGGAACTTTATTTCACATATATTTGCAGTATAGTGACAAAACATTAAAAGAGACATTACTATGTAGGCAAAATGAAGAAAATTATCTGAAGTGGTTCGAAGTGAAAAAGTTTTCCCTGAAAACTTTGAGGGAAGGGCCTGATGGAAATTTTCCGTTCACTGCCCAGTTACCCGTTTGGATGTTTTAATTACGTGGTAAAAGTGTGTTCATCAATTCGTGGTTCGGGAAAAACTAAAAATTTCTTCAGCACCTATTTTGGATTGTTCCTACGTGTGCTTCTACATGCTGGAATAAAACAAGAATAAGCACCTGCATGTATAATTGATTGAAAAGTTTTTGTTTTATACGAGAGCGATTAATGTCTATGAGCTGCTGCCATTCTGCTCTGGCTAACAAAAACACCAGCTTGGTCAGATAGAGAAAGAGAGAGTGATAGAGAGAAAAAAACAAGAGTGGAAAAAGTTTTCGTTTTCCGAACAAACCAAGAGGATACAAGCAGCGTGAATGTGTGAAAATGCAAAAAGAGAGGAAAATATCTTCAACGAGAGGAAAACTTTTCATTCTTTGTGTGTTTATGCAATCCAATTTGATGTGAAAACATAGCCATAAACTATTTAATTTGGATGACGGAGGCTTTTCTCGGAACACACCTTTTTGTGGGTAAAACAAAGGCGTTAAGACAAATGAAAAGTTTCAATTACCCTAAAATGTATCAAATAGTGTGTATTCAAGAAGAACGAAATGAAATAGTATATGCGTAAGTTTTCAAAAGAAACGTTACCTAAAATGTTGAAGCATTGCAACTGTATGCTAGATACATCGGAAAATAATTAAACAAGTAAGTAAAACTTCACTGATTATTTTTATATGACTGCCTATTGATTGACTACATTAAATTCAATCGAAAGATTTGTCGACGAAACGCAAAAAGGAGATTTTAAATAAATAATGCTAATCTTATTTTATTTCTAGCCATACCCTAACTCCAATCACATGTTTAGCAAAGTCTAATAATTAAACACATTATAGACCATGCATAAATTATGTATGTTACGTTGAATTGTTAAATTGAGGACAAATTTACGACCCCTCCCCCTTTCGTCACAGTTTTCCTACACACTTCGAAAAATTCATGTAAATTTAGGTGCTCTGAGAGTGACATATACGAGCGTCAATTTTGACATAAATTTGAGTCATAACAGACGCGAAATATAGATCAATCAAACGTACTTTTCGTCGAGCAACGAATTTTTGAGTCTCGGAGCGTTTAATATTACATGACATGTTTGTTTACGTCTCAAAGATCGATTCAGTCACGTGTAAAATTAGTAATTTCTAAGTGCGTATACCTAATGCATTGCTCTCCCCTCTTAGGACATGACATAATATATGCATCACCCCTTACGTCTTCTGAGTCACACCATATTAATAATTTACATGGGTTATATCGACAGTGATATTTCATGAGGGTCTAAGTCACAATCGTAAACAATTACTTTTTTTTCGCAATCTTGTCGAGAATGAGAAGCATCATCGTAAAGGGGAAGAGTAGAAGCGACGGAAATGAGGCCTTCCGAAGATAGATTTTGATGTATGCGAAATGTTCAAAAATAACGGCACCGGTGGTGTAGTGGTAAGCGTGATTACCTCTCACCCCAGCAGGCCTGGGTTCAATCGCAGTCGGCGCCGCCGGGATGTTCTGAGGCATAACATCTCTGATCACGCCTACCTTCGGATGGGAAGTAAAGCCGTTGGTCCCCGGTTCATGAGTTGATGGGTTGATAGGTAGGGTCCAGGTGTGGGCTGCCTTCCTGGCACGTCGGTAGCATTGGTGCTCAGCACGGAAAACAAGATCGACGAAAAACAACCCAAAGGAAAAAAAAAGAAAAAGAAAAAAAAGCATATATTGTAAGCTTTCAAATGAAGATAGAGTTGTTATGCTTATACCATAGAGGTAATTCTAAGACCAGAAGGTACCGGATAAACGTCCTCAACTTTTTGGCTCTGCTCTGGTGCTCTATTCGGTCCCAAACTAATCGATGCACCCCTCCTAACATAGGAAAATCCACGAACCCCTCATTTATCTGTCAATCTTTCATAGCGAATCAAAACAAACATAGTGTAGTACTAGAATTTCGACTAGAATGGGTTACGCTTATAGATGTACTTGGGACCAATAGGCTAGTCAAGTTAGTTTCCACCGGTTGGTAATACCAACAATCAATACGAAAGTAACGATTTTAAATTGGCTCACTACTTGACTAGCCTATTGGTCCAAGCAAACGATTAACGTACCCCATTCTAGTCGAAATTCTAATACTACACAATGTTTGTTTTGATTCGCTATGAAAGTTTGACAGATAAATGAGGGGTTAGTGGATTTTCCTATGTTTCGAGGGGTGAATTGATTAGCTTGGGACCGAATAGAATACCAGAGCTGAGCCAAAAAGTTGAGCACATTTCTTCGGGACCTACTAGTGCTGTCGAGGCCGAAGTATCATTCCCGAGCAGATCGCTGATGCTGGAAGTTAGACAGAGTGACTCCCGAAGATTTTGGAACTCCGGGCAGTTGCACAGGATGTGTTCGACGGTGTAGGGTACCCCACAGATGATGCAGCTTCTGCGGAACGGCAGGCCACCATAGTTATAGTAGAGTTTGGTGTGCCCGGTTCGAAGCCGCGAAATCACGCGTTGATCCCTCAGGTTGTCCAGTTGTCCTATAGGGGTACCTTGTTGGTGAGTCTGGGACCCGATGTCCCGGCTCCGGCAAGGTGATCAGCAGACTCGTTACCTGGCACTCCGCAGTGTCCGGGAATCCATGTGTACACGGTGTTCGGTGGGGCGTACTTGATAATCGCCTGGATCCATGGGTGTTTTGGTGCTTCCGAGGTCATCGCTTGAACGACGCTGTGTGAGTCGGTTAATATAAGTATCGGTTTATTGGCAGGCGTCGTAGCGGCACGGAAGATCGCTGCAGCCTCGGCCAAGAAAACCAAGCATTGTGGAGGAAGACTGCTGCTTTCAGCAATACCGTTTCCAAAAACTCCGTTTATCGATCGGGAGCCGTCGAAGTACGTGGTCGGCATAGTTGGACCCAAGTAACTCGGCGACCGATCTGCGCAAAATCATGGATGCATGGATGCACTGGCGGGAGGTCGATGTCGGCGGCCGTGCGGAGGACTCTGTTCCCCTCGTCGTGAAGAAAGATCCTATTGTTTCCGGAGGTCTTGGCGGAAATGGCGGCGGCTTTTGTGGCAATATTTGCGTTTAAGCAGAACCGGAAAGGAAGAAGACCCGCTTCGATGCAAGCGGCGTCTGCTGGAGTGGATGGCAGGAGACCAGATATGATGCGGATGTAGCTGTTGTAGAGCAACCTACTGTCGATGATGGCTCGCGCCACCTGGAACCGAACATCGCGGTTGTTGGATCGGTGAGGCCGAGAGATCGTTTTAACGAGGTTGAGTCTACTGCGGCAGTCCTTTTTGACCTGTTGGAAATGCTGGTCGAAGGAGAGCGTTCGGTCGATCAGTACGCCGAGGACGCGAACTGTTTTCCTGTTTGGAATGGCTTGGTCGTGGATCGTAATTGGGGTGCTATTGACTCGGTGCTGAGACGGACATACGTGGCATCGGATGCTCTTCCTGGCGGACAGCTGGAAACCCATCGAGTCGGTCCATTTGACGACGGCAGAGACTGCCGCTTGCGCTTGCCGTAGGGTTCGAATTTTTGGTAACATTTTTGAACTTTTTGTTACAACGTTTTTTATATGATTTATACTCAGAAAACAATGTTTGAGACATTTGAAACATTTTCTGTGAAAAAATAAACAAAAAGCGTACTAACAAACAAAAAATACCAAAAGTTCTTGATCAACGATTTTTGTCATCATTATATTTTTTCGTAGTGTAAAATTTAAGTAAAAATTCATCAAATGGAACACAGTTTAGGTGAACCTTAGCGGGAACTGCTTGAAATTCCACTTCCTTATACACCTTGTTTTTTCAACTTATTATTTACGACGGAAAGTCACCATTTTGCTTCGGTTTGCTTTTAAATTAGAAGATGGATAGCAATTACTATTGTATGCACACACACCCTGAAAACAACCACGCAATTGGTGAACCAACATACAATATCGATCTGGTCCCACCTCATAAAAACATGAAATAGGACGTGATCCAGAGGGATTTCTTCGTTTTTATTATTCTCATCAACATCACGGGTGAGGTCCACTTTTCGTCTTTCCTCCGCTCGCCTATAATGTATTGAATCAGTAAACAGAAAGAAATGTGTTCCACTTTTCTATATTATGGTAAACTCTCCTTTAGTTGCGGTACGTTAGAAGCGTTAGGTTCCTATACTTGCGTATGGAGTCTCGTTTCTAACGAACCGCAACTATAGGAGCGTTTACCCTATTGATAAAGCTTCGAGCTGAGAAAAGTTGAACACATTTCTTCCTGTTTAGTACCGTCAAAGGATATTATTATGCCTACGAGATTTGAATACAACCATGATGGAAAATGAATTTTGTCGTTTGCTACTTCTTCTTGAATCAACTTTTTGTTACCAATGAAAAATATGTTTGATGGTAAAAGGCGGAGGGTGGACCATCACTTTTGAGCTAAGTTTGTCCCTCGTTTGTCTTGTACGTTATATGATTTGGGTTGTTAAACTGTCTCTGAACAGCAGGTCAAAGAGCGAGAGTCTTCTAGGAAGTCGAACCAATTGGAAATCACTTGCCGTATGATTGACAAATTTACTCCAACACAGCTGGGTCTTTCGTTTTGTTACTGGTTTTGTATTTTATGCTTTCGTCGTAAGCATATCCTATTGGGAAAATAGATCGATTGTGATATGGAGTTTTCCGTGGACTCCTTTGATGTGAGTCCAAAAAACTATAACATTGACAAACTAACCAAATTCATTTATTTATTGTATTTGTCATCGAACAGTTTAGACCGTTTACATTTTTTATTATTATTTTTTTTTTATTTTAGAGATTTCTAGCCGAAGACTAGTTCATCTCTTGACCGTTTTACAATTGTTGCCTTAAGTGCTATATTTTTACAAATTTTGTCTTTGTTATATAAATTATAGTATGTCTTGAGAAAAAAATACTACAACTGTCGTGACGCGAGGAAATAAAGTATTGCTTGGATTTGGTTTTTGTCATTGTTAAGTCAATGTTATCGCAGTGCTTATTGTATGTAATGCGATGTGATACTTATTGTAATCAATGCGATGTGATACTACAATTGCTACACACTATAAAAAAAAGTTACGCAAATGTCGATGCCCTGCCGCCCCCCTATTACCCACTGCTTCTTTGATCTGTGTTGAGATCCCCAATACAATTATTTAGGCCTACTGCTCCGAACAAGCTCATATAATCTTACACATATAGCACCATATAGGTATACACGAAGCACTTGTTCACTAGCTTTTTCCTCGACATCTACGACAAAGTTGTTCTGCACAATTTACCCAAGTTTCAAGATTGGTCAGAATTGAGCAATTTTTGAATTTTTGTCAAGCAAATGAAAAGTTTTGCTCCGTATCCCATACAGACTTTAAAATTCTCCCAAAAATCCAGATCGTAAGCGAATTTGTTCAAATTTAGTACAGTTGTTGGGGACCTCAATACACATCCAAAGAGTGGTGGGAAGCAGAGGTTTATGATGCGCCATACAAGCTTGACCCACCCTAATGGGCACCGTTACGATTATCAGTATATTTTATAAATAATTAATTATTCTTTACTGAACATCAAGTGTGTGCAATTTACATCTTAACATGTGAGACCGACTCATGCATGCGGCCCTAATGACACTTACTATT